TGTCATTGGCCGTTTGAGAGGTTGATCTGTATAGACTACCACCGGATGTGCCAAGAAATATGGTTTCAACTTCTTGACTGCCATGAATAGAGCAAGGCCAAATTTCTCAACCGTTGGGTACCAAAGTTCAGCATTTCGAAGAACATGGCTAATGAAATAGACCGGGAGTTGGATGCCGTCTCTCTCAGCAAGGAGAACAGCATTGAGGGCATGATCTGTGACGGCTAAGTACATGTAAAGCGTCTCTTTGGCAAAGGGCTAACAAGCCTTGGTTAAGAGTGCAAATGTTCTTTCAATTTTTGGAAGGCCGCCTCAGCATTATCCCCCCAATCAAACATGGTCTTCTTTTTGATTGCTTGGAAAAAATTGAGGCACTTGTCCCCTGACTGGCTGAGGAATCTCCCTAATGTTGCTAGACACTAGTTAATTTCTGAACTTCCTTTTGTTCTCTGGATTTGCCTCTATCCCACTTTGATCAATAAAAAATCCGAGAAACTTCCCAGACTCAACACCAAAGACACAATTCTTGGGATTGAGCATGACCTTGTGCCGCCTGAGTTTGGTGAAGGTTTCTCGAATGTCAGCAAGATTTGACTACTGTATCATCAATGTACGCCTCTACAATTCTTCCTATTTGATTAATGAATATCGTATTAATCATTATTTTTCAAGTCAAACGACATCCCCCTATCAGTGACGAATGCAGTCTTCTCTTGATATTTCTTCCACAGGGGTATCCGATGGAAAGTCTAAGCAGGCGTCTATAAAACTCATCAAGGCATGTCCGGCTGTAGAGTCGACCAGACTATCGATCATTGGAAGCGGATTATTGTCCTTCGAACAAGCCTTGTTCAAATCAGTATAATCAACACACGTGCGCCAGGTCCCATTCGGCTTCTTTACAAGGACAACATTCGCAACCTAATATGGGAAGTGACATTGCTGAACGAAACCGACATCTAACATCTTCTTGACCTCGGAGGCTGCCGTTTGAGATATTTCCTTGCCGTGAGTTCTTTTCCTCTGCCTAACAGGGCTTCTTCTGTTAATCAACGACGAGTTTGTGGACAGCGAGATCCGGGTTGATGCATGACATCTCTTCCACTTCAAAGGGTTGTGCAAGTCTGCCCCCATATTGGCAAAAGCAACCGTCTCGACCTTTATAGCACGCTCAGGACGTGTGTCATCGTGAGCGATGTCTATGTGTTCACCAGCCGGCTGGGGACGATCTGACCGTTCCCCGATCAGCGATTGCTATTGCTTTTCTTTCTTGACAGTCACCAACTGGTCGGCCTTTCTCTTCTTGCTGGTTGGTGGTAGGGCAGCTTGACATCGTCAAGGTCTATTGGCTCCACTCCCTGGCCAATTGTCATGGTTTTGACGTCCGAGAGATAGCACTCTCGGGCCGTCTTCTGGTCCCCATTCAAGGAGCCAACAGAACCATCATCTCTTTCAAACTTCAGCAACATGAGGGATGAATTAATGACGGCCTTGGATTCGTTTAAAGTCGGATGGCCTATTATCATGTTGGAGGCGGTCAGCTCTTCTACGACCAAGAACTGGACGACCATATTGCGGCCTTATCCTCTCTCTCCCAGCCGGATTGGTAGATCAATGCGGCCGACTGGGTGCACAACTCCACCCCCAAAACCAACCAAGGGGTGAGAGACCTTGTGCATGCTGCCTGGCTAGTACTTCAGCTTGGACAGACAACGCCGTCTGTTAGTGTCAGATGAACTGCCTGTGTCAATAAGGATCCGACCAGGCTTTTGATTAGCTACCTTACATTCAATAACAATGGGGTCATCAGGCAAAGTCGCATGCAATAGTGCAGATCATGTCCGGTCAGTGTTCGAACCACTTTTTTGACGGCTGCTTGGGGTCCATCTTCAGGGTCACCTTCAGCACCCTTTGTCAGCCAATCTGTCCAACAACTGCTTGAGGCTATAACAGTCGTTGGTGTCATGGTCAATATCCTCATGGAAATGGCACCGCTTGTCTTTGTTCCGGTTTTTGGCCGAACCCTTCATAGCTGCGGGCTTCTTAATTGTCACTCGGTCTTTGATCTCCATGAGAATGGAGTAGTAGTCCTGGTTAAACTCGTACTTGAGGATGTACGGTTAACTCTTTCTTTTTCTTCTTGGACGGCTAATCAGTGCCCAAATCTCGTCTCTTCTTTCTCTCTTGTGAGCCGGCTGTTCTTGCCGTCTCCCTTTTTGCTTGTCAGAATTTTTTGAGTCCAACTACTTGTGGACTAGAGTTCGGTTCGATTGCTTGTATATAAGCTTCTGCCTCCATTAGCTCCTCTTGGAGAGTGGCGATTCTCTTGACCCGTCTTTCACACCGTTGAAGAAGTCTGTATATGCAACATCGTTAGAAAGTCCTTGGATCTGGATCCTCACCAAATTGAACCGCGTGACGTAAGAATGGAGCCCCTCCTTATCTCCTTGTACCGCGCCTAAGGGTCTTTTTGACATGTATATTCATGGAGAAGTTAGAGGGAAACAAGAACGCAAGCGTCTTAAAGTTATTGATGCACCCGGGCGGTAGATTGCCGAACCACTGTGGGTAATGCCCTTCAGCGTAGTTGGAAAGCATCTGCACCACGCAGCATCATCCAACCCCTGCAAATACATGAGGTGGGTGTAGGGTTGGTGGTACCATCATAGGTACCAACCATGACATTTTATAGGGTGTGTAACAATTGATTGTGTGTAATAAATGAACGTGCCCCCCAAGTTGGGGTAAATCTCCCTATTTATAGGGTCATGGGAATCAGTGCCCCCTTTTCCAGGTCATCAACCTAGGTAAATGGGCTGCGCCGTTTTTACGGCGTTCTCGGGATTTGGACCTTTGAAAGCCGCCTTTTTCCATTGGGAGTGCCACGTGTCAACTGATGATTGATCCTTTTCGGACCTCTCCTAGGGTGACACGTGTCCCCTTATGATTGGGCCATGTGTCCCGACCCAAATCATTTGCCTCTCACAATGGGTAATTTCGCCTTTGGTGTACTTTTTCCCAAATCAGAAGCGGATGAGAAAAAAGTACACCAAAGGCTTGACATATCAATGGTTGCAATTACTAATGTTAATCCCCTTACATAACTCTCCAAAGTGGGGTAATTAACAACTATCACAATTACTAATGTTGGGTTCAGAAGGTACTATTGAATAAACACCTTAAGTTAGAGGGCACATCTTCTAATTTAGAAAAAACATGGGCACACCTTAAAAACTCAACGACCACGAGGGCATAGCTTAGAAAAACCATTGACGTTTATATTAGTACGATGGTACTTTGTATCTGTTATTAAAATTTACTACTCATGTATTAATGATCATTTAATAATTTTATTTGTAAGATTAAAACTTGTATCACCATTAGTAGTTTTGGGATCTACAACCTACAATACACACTTTAATTATCATTTTATATTATGAAATTTTATTTTTAATTGATGAAAATATATCATTAATATACAAAGTATCTTGTTTTGAACTAATTTTCAAAACAAATATTATGATATAATTTTACAAAATATTGTTGGTGTGTGACCATGGTAATTTCGCCTGACAAAGAGTAATGTCGTAGCTGAGTTATTGGGTGAGGTGTTATAGTAGCTATGTGCTCTCTCTCTTTCTTAAAGAAACCTAGCTTTTCAAGGGAAATTGATTGGATTGGATTGGATTGGATTACCTATATAATTCAAGCATAATTCTTAATTATTCTCCTTTATTTATTTTTCTTGATTCCCTTCGCTTTCTAATGTGTGAACCAAACATCCCTTCCTTAATTCGACCAATTTTATAAGCCATGCTTCCACCATTTTTATTAGTTGCAACGTTGCTCATTTCACATTTGCTATTGCGTATTTCCAATCATTTATATCTCTGACAATCTACATGTAAAAATTCTACAAATTTGATATTATGAAAGTATTAATTAAGAAACGAGACCTCACATAACTATTTTTTTCCTTTATTATAAATCATTAAAGAGAGTAAAAATATAGTGTGCGAATAGTACAAAAGACAAACTGTTCAACTAAATAAAATCGGAGGAAATATCTTTTATCTACTATTGAAGAATCAAACAATTTGGGTAAGGACTTTGGAAGTACGTACATAGCTACACTCCTGTTGGCTGTAGTTAATAAATTCTATAAATTATATTGCATGGTAAACCATCATATGAGTCACTCTGTTGTCCTGTTTTGTGACACTGCCTCTTGATTATATCATACAGTTTGCCTATTGATTAGTCATTGTAAAATCCTAGTAAATTGTGAGATTGATAGAAATTTGCATTGTTGAACTTTGTGCCTTCTGTAGCTCTTTTGGATTGTCAGTCATTCTGTCTGCTAATGTGGCTGCTCTCTGCTTATAGGATTGGGGTTCCAGTTATTAGGCTGGTAATTGCCTAACTAGTTCATCTATATCTCTTATTTGGTCTAAAATACAAGATCATTGATGTTTCTTTAGAAAGGCATAACCTTAGTGATTGTGTCTGATTATTGCAAAGTTCTTATGGCTATTTTGAAAGGGCATAGTCTTAGTGTTTTATTTAGGTAGTATCTCATGCCTCTCTGCTAAACTCGTCCTGTGTAATGATGTTGAAATCTCATGATCAAAATTTTGTAAGCCTGATATAATCATTGTTTTTTCTGTAAAAAGTTTGCATCTATGCTGTTGCTTCTTTTTGTTGTGCTGTTATTTAGATTAAATCTTTCAGTGAGATCTTGTAGCAGTAAGAACGATAATCTTTTGCCACTTTTAATTATTTCATGATCATGTTGTTCTTGTTACTGGAAAGAGCTTTTTATTTTTATTTTTATTATGTGTGTACGTTTGTTTATTCAACCTTATCCCTTTTGTAAAAGATTTTTCTAGATCCAATTTAACAATCATAATGTAGGTGTCAAACTGATTGCAAGTCTGATTACTCAATTGTCAACCTTTGAATGTAGTTTGACTTAAGATCTCTTTTTTCACTCTTTGCAGTGCAGTTGCATTGGGGTTTCTGAATTTCTTTGGGTCGTTGTTTGGCGACCTGACTGAGTCGATGATAAAACGTGATGCAGGTGTAAAAGATTCTGGGTCTCTTATACCAGGACATGGTATGCCATGTGCTTCATTTCTCTTTTTTCATGGGGTAGAGGGGAAGGGGGGTGGTGGGGGAACACAAAGATAACATTTGTTTTTTGACTTCATAGGTCTTTTGTGCTTAGGAATAAGGAACCCTATAAGAAGCTAAAAGAAAAAAAAACTAAGCACTTAATAGCATTAAACAAGGGTTGTTGAAAGTTTGATCTTGAGTGGGAAATATGAAAATGTTCATACATAGCTCGGCAACGCAATACATGTGTAAAACCCTCCATATTTAATCCAATTTAACAAAATCTTAATTGTGATTTTATCCACAGGTGGAATACTAGACAGAGTTGACAGTTACATCTTTACTGGTGCACTCGTGTACTCTTTTGTTAAAACTTTCCTGCCACTCTGGGGTGTCTGAAGAATTTTTGGTGTAGTGAAAGAGGCTCTCGAACGTGAAGCTTTCGGAGTATTAGTCTATAGCCCGTTGCTAAGTATTTTAGTCCCATACTTTCCAGTTTTTGTTGTATAGATTCTATTCAACCCTTAGTTATAGCTCAATAAGTCGTGTAGTCCAATGAGCATGTATTAAGTAATTTGCATATCTTTCACTGTATGTCCATCGTCAAAATCATACTACATCTGTATCTTGAACTTTATATTTATTCAAGATTATAATTCAGAGCAATAATAGTTTTAGTTTCTCAAATTGATATAGTCCAGCGATTTGTGTGGTTATCAAAACAATGGCTGGAAACATATTATCAATTTATTTTGGATCTTGTTCTAAGTTTAGCTCATACATTTGTTATCTACTTCGTATATTTTAAGAGGTGGAGCCTTTAGGGGCAAATTATACTATGTGCTTGAGTCTTGAATGTAGGTTCTGGGAGACATTAGAAATTCCAGATAAATAATCGACTGCGTGAAAATACAAAGTAATTTAATGTTAAGAATAGAACTATTCATTGTTTCGAATATACTCCCTCTGATTTTTTTTAAATGCAACTTTGGGGCCTTACGCGGTTCGTGATGCAAAAGTTAAGGGGTATGTGAAAGTGGGGTTAATTGAAGTGTAGAGAGAGAAAGTTTGGCCCACCACTTGGTAAAGTAGTGGTAAAGTAGTGGGTAAAATAGTTTAAAGTAGTGTGTAGAGAGAGAAAGTTTGGCCCACCACTTGGTAAAGTAGTGGGTAAAGTAGTAATTTTAAGGGTTTTTGTTTACCCAAAATAGAAATAAAATAGAAAGTTGCATTTAATTAAAATCCGACTAAAATAGCAAAAATTGCAATTAAAAAAAAATAAGAGGGTGTATAATTTAACTTAATAATAGTGAAAGTTGTGTATTTTACATTCATTAGTTATGTTTGAATGCATTTTACTTTAATTTGATTTGATTATTTTTGTTTGAATAAGTTGTTATTTTTTATTTTATTATTTTGATTAAGGTTAAATGTGAAAGTTAAATTGATTTAGATTTGACAAATAGAGGGAGTATAAACCCACTAGCTTACTACCTAAGACAAAAGTTGAGAGTATTAGAATCAAGTCAATTATTTCTAATCAATAACTATGTATACTAAAAGATGCTCACCAACAATGACACGTGTCAACTCCTATCGTGTTATTCTTTTTATATTAAAATAAAAGTAAGGAAACAATTTTAGGAAAAATAAAATTTCTCCCCTGCCAAAAAAAAATATCTTTGGTTTTTTTTCAATCGCACCATTTTCTTTTCTAAGAAGTTGCATATTGATTTCCTAAACAAAAAAAGTTGCATAATAATTGCACTATTTCCTTATTTGATATGCTTTATTCAATTTTGATTGTGTTAACACATAAAAGTGTCTGACTACCCTTATTCACATGATAACCCATCTTTTCTTTCTTATTTATTTGTATCACATGGGAAAATTTGACACTCATCGCTTTTTACTCCTTTTCCAAAATTTTGTGCCCAAAGCAATTTGATTAGAAAAAAAAAAAAATTAGAGGAAGTATTAATTATTTTTTTTCCAAATATTGTCATCATTATAATAAAAAATAATTCACATGTCCCTCCACAATACTTTTATTTTATTATTTTTTTTTTGTTAAGTTATTTGGAAAAAAAAAAATTACATTCAGAAGTTAAATTCCTTAAGATTTTACAAAAATAGTTTAATCATATACATTCAACTAACTATTCTTTCATACTTTTATATAGAGTGTTAGGTAATATAATATGTTTGCAAAATAATATGATGAATCTAAACATTATGATAGTTATTGTTTTGAGTTTTTTGTATTAATTTTTTTTATATCCCTTGGGAGACTATGATCCAAAATGCAGCAAAGCAAGTATAATCACTAGGTTTGGGCAATGACAATAAATATTGCGATACCTGAATATTTTCCTCTAACAATCAAGTTTGTGAGAAGTGAGAGCTCTTAGGCACTTTCCCTAAAATAGTGCAATGAATGTAACTTGTTCTATCTATAAATGATTGGAGTATTTATATCATTTTGGAGAGTGTGCTTGTAGGGAATTTTTCAACTCTCGTTGAGCCCTATTGTGGTTCATGTTTTTAAGTATGGCGGCGCTCCAAGGAAAAGAAGCTAGAGGTAAAAGAGTCACCAACAAGTTTTAGGAACTTGTAAACCGTTCACGGGTGCGAAGGTTACACCAAATTCACAATCACAGAGATTGCTAACTCCATAGTGGTACGGAACCATGACTGGATGTTCGGGGATGATGGTACGAATCCAACCTAAAAGAGATTGAACTCACCCTAAATAGGCCTCTATTTAATTGTTATGATATTCATGTGTGCTTTTCGATCAACATACGTACATCAAATTAATCCTAAACCTGTTTAATCTGCGTTGGTTGATTATTAATGCACTATCACATCTATTATCAGTGATCACTTGAGTTAAAATCATATTAAGCCTAAATTCAATTATTAATTTTCTTATTAGGCATGATTTCAAATACCAATTCCCTTTAAACCTACAAAAAGGGGCGTGATCAAGCAATAACAATAAATCATGAATAATCAAGCAACATATTATTAATGTAACAATCATCATGATAACACCATCATTAAAACATCGTTAGTAAGATTCTAGGCATGATACTAAACAGATTAATAACACATCCTAGCATGTCACTAATAATAAAAAATCAAAGCATTATCCTAAACATGATACTAGAAATCATAATAAGCACCCTAAACAGTACATGATACTAGGAATTAATATAATATTATAAACATGATTTATACTCCAAAATCAAACGAATAATTAAAGAGATAATTGAATTACTCACTTTGATGCCTCAACCTTCTTTCTATTAAAACAATACACACGTTAGTAAACTTCAAGAAAGTTAAGTCACTAAAGTAAATAATACAAATTGAAATATAGATTTGGGACCAAACCCTCATAACTATCAACCTTTCACGTCGAGGTAAAAGGCAACGTCGAGGATGGTTTGGAGTGTTAGAATCTCGTGAATGAGGTATTGTGACAGATTTGGGAGAATATCAAGAATGTGGTTAGGCTAAGGCTAAGAATTTGGGGTTTAAGAACTTTGGGAATTATGATGGTTATGGATGCTAATTCTTGATGATTGTTGATGGTTGTTGATGATCTGGAAATGGGGAAAATGACCTCTATTTATAGGGAAAAAAGAGAATCTGGACGATCAGAAAAGATCAGAATTTGGAATGGAATAAAACATATTTCAATGCGGGGCGACAGACCTATCACCCCGCGCCAGTGTCCATCGCATCGCGATGGAGCTGACGTGGCGCGATAGTTCCGTTGCTCTGCGATGATGATAAAGCCGTACAGAGTTTGATTTCTAACATAATTGGATTAATGAAACATATCCGGATATCTTTTAATTTGAATGGGATAAGGACTATCATATGAGAAATTTTATTCAGCTTTGAATTCTTTTTTTTATCTTTATCTTTTCAAAAATGATAAATTAAAACCTTCTAGAGGATTCTGGAATCTCCTAAGGAATCCTAATTGGTTTAGGATTGGGGTTAAGGTGGATCCACATATGAATCCTAGGGTCGATTTGGGTTTATAATATATCGTTGGAAAGCTCTTTTCAACATCCAACTAAAAAATAATTGGACCAGGATTATGGACTAAAATAATTTGGTTTGGACGTTTTTTATAAGTTGGACACGACATGGATGATTTTAAGGGACACAAAATGAATTATTTTGAGTTTAAAGGCACGAAATGAATGGTTTTGGATTAATACATTTTAGGTAAGGTTAGAAATATGGTCAAGGCTTAAGGAAATTAAACTTCACGAGACTTTTCAACTCCTTACCAAACTCGTTTATCAAAGACGTGAAAGGTACTCATCACTGGGTTTGGTTTTGGGGAGACACAATCAGGTGTCTACAGAAGCCCCCATTTTGATTGAGTTTAGAGAAACGTAAGTTTCGAAAACAAAAGTCAAATTAGATCGATAGGGATGAAGAATGAATCAGAACGTTCTACGATCCTAAATCATCCTTTTGAACACCGATACCTGCAGAAAGCGTCAATTTTACAAATAAAGGAGTTAAGTGATAGTTTCTCACGCTTCGGAAAATCTATTGTAAAACCTTACTCTTCAAGATTTTACCGAGTTTGATTTGATTTCCGTGGAAATCTTCCTCTAATGGTCCCATCGAACCATCTTTGAAATATTGTTATCGTAATTAGGCCGATCACTTCTCAATTGGGATTGTAATCGGGCCAATCACCGCTCAAGTGTGTTCAAATCAATATGTAATTAAGATGTGATCGTCATCAGACCGATTATTAATCAAACGTGATCGTAATTGGGCCGACCTTAAATCAACTGCTTAAGAATTTTGTTTATTAATTGCTCATCACGAGGCTTGAGAAAAAAAAAATCAATCAATTGCTCGTCTCTTGGCTCGAGTAAATAATCATGGTCAACATTTCGCTTTGTAGGACCCTTAAAAAGCTGACGTGGTGATCAGGTATTGTCGTGCAGCGATAGGGGTATTGCAACGCGTCAAGGGTTATCGCGCCGTGATAATTTTATCACACCGCGCACTGGAATCTTTTTTTGGGTTTTTAAAACCCATCTTCTTCCTCTTTTTTTTTTTTTTTTTTTTTTTTTTTTTGGTTTTCATTTTCGCTTGCCACTCGTATTTAGCAAGCTTCAAATCACTCGTTCTTACACCATATTGCTTCAAACTTGTTGCAAATCTTCACATTTTCTATTCCTTACACCGATCCATGTAAGTTTTCTAAAATGTCTTTCAATTTTCGTTGGAATTGGGCAATTTTTCTATGAAAAAACCCAAAAATCTAAATTGGGATTATTTTGTTTATTTGATTTTTCTTGAAATTCTTGTCATGAATTTTCTGTATATGATTGTATGTTAGTTTGTGAGTAACTTGAGACTAAAATTGCTTGATTTGGTGAAGAAATGAGCGATTTGCCATTGTTGAATACTCTTAATTCGTGAGTACAATGTAGCTTGTTTTTTATGATTTTTCTTGCTTCTTTGCACTTGATTTGTTGCAATAATTGTTGTAGACTTACAAGAAATTATTTTGGTATGCAAATTTGTTGTTTTTGTGCAAATTGAAATCATGCTCTGTTTTGCAATTTTATACTCTATTTTGACGAATGTAGTATCATACGGCTAGGCGAACTTAG